CCCCAAAGTGCGTTACGTACTTTGGGGTCCGACCCCAGAGTGCGTTACGCACTTTGGGGTCCAATTTCGACCCCAAAGTGCGTTAGACAGGTACATATACATTTTTTAACATCAGGCAAACGACCGCACTTTGGGGTCATAGAAAATTAATGTTCATTATGTTTTAAATAATGTATTGTAGTCAAAACCAATGGTAAACAAAAAATCAAGGTATTAAATAGACGCAAAGCATGTGCCCTGAATTATAGTAGAATCAATAGGAATTTAAATGTTTTTGATTAGTAAGTGAAGAACTTTCACCAAATAAAGAATTTGTATCAATTATTAAGCTTAAATATTTTTTTTTTCAAATTGTCCATTTATTTTAAAAGAATGTACACCTTTCATTAACTCCATTGGTTTTAGCTAAATGCATTATTTTCCCAATTTTTATTTACACGTTTTATAGAAATACACTTAACAAATCTTATAAGTGTGCATGTATAAATGGTTTCATAGGTGTATCAATATTTTCCCGATCATGCTGAAATTTTCAATAAATACAAAAAAGAGACATGTTATCATTTTTGTTAAGTACTTTTCATTCAAGATACAAATTTAAGATTAAATTTTTAAAAAAAGTGAATGCGTGTCGAAAGTCGATGTTGCAATATGATGTCCTTTATACTGTGTGTGCCCACCCTGACTATTACAGCCTGGCAGCGTCGTCACATCGATCTAACATACCGTTGTAGATAATTTTGGGGTTGGTGAGGAAGGTTACCAAAGAAGTTGCTCTGTACTTAATGACTAGCCTTCTTAGGTAGTTTGGTGTACACTCATGCCAGGCGCAACCTACAAATGATACAGACAATTAATTACTAAATAAAAATATGCATTTATGTTCGTCTTATTTAAATATTTTTCGGCTTTTACAATGCAAAGGAATTAAAATAATTATTTAAAGAAATACATGTCACCAACCTCTGTTTGGTGCACACCAACGTTGACCAATCTTAGGGTTATGCCACGATGTTGTATAGATAATCTACCCATGTGGTGTTTTTCTGATATGTCGATCTCTATCGTATCCGAGATATCATGTGCAATCTTATTCCACCCATTCTCACAATTTTTTCGTGCATTGTGTAAATATCGTTCGTTCATCGTTGAACGCATCTCATAATTAAAATTGACATGCTTGAGCACATGAAATGTGTGGAAATGCAGCCAATAGTCAGAACACAAAATTTTGTAAAAATATATTGATAAACGAAAAAGTTACAAGGACATAAAAGGTGCACACTTATAAGATTTGTTAAGTGTATGATAGTCTTAGCATAGACAAAGGTATAAATTATGGGTAATCTTAGTTAGACATTTCAGTAAAAAATGTGCCTGATAATATGTTAAAAGAGCCATTCATTTAGCTAAATGTGACATATAAGAAACTTGACTAGGTGTAGATGCGGCTTTAAGTAGTAGTCCGTACAGGCAGTACCAAAATAACTATTTAAGTAGTCGCACATTAAGAGCGGAGCTTCAGAATAATGTAAAATTCTCACTGAGGGTAAAGAGGGGATTGTGGGGTATCGATCCCCCACCCTCAAGGGTTAAAAAAATAATATTTTAAAGGTCCATTTTGCTTTTATTTGTTTTTCTTCAAAGTTTTTTTTTTTATTTTGATGTTCTTCTATATTATCCAAAAATACATATTGGGCAATTACCTGGACCATCTTTTTCATCTTTTGCTTTTTGTTACATTGTTTTGACTACTTTTATGGCAAATAATTTCACATTTATCGTTCCTTTATTCAGATTACAAGCATCTTACATTTCTCTGATACCATTTTTTTAACATTATAAAATTCATGTTAACTTTGCTCTTTCTTTAGAATATGTAAGATTTCCCATAAAAAACCTCTAGCGAACAGTTGTTACAAAAACCCTTTAGTTTGTTGATAAGCTTAATAATGTATTTGTAAAAATCACTATATATAGTCCGATCGAAAAACTTGATGTTTCACCAGAACATTGCAATAGAGTATATTTATAATTCTTCGGAAAAAAATGCAAACAGCATTTTATTTCATTCCAACATATTTAAAATGGAGCTCAATATGGCACCAAAAAATTATCAAGTAAATGACTGACAGAACGGGATATTTTTCGCAGCATCTTTTAATTATAATATATAATTTCTGTACTAAAGTATTTTGAACGGTGTCATAAAAGTAACATTTGCATTTTTTTAATACTTTTTTTGTTTTTCGTACATATTTTTTGTTGTTTTGTTTTTTGTTTGTCGTACATATTTTTTTTAGTTTTGAATACATACTTTTTTGTTTTGCATACATATTTTATTTTAGTTTTGCATACATATTTTATTTTAGTTTTTTTGTACATATTTAATTTTTGTTTTTTCGTACATATTTTTACATGACCACATTTGCAAAGTAGATGTTTGAATAATTACGCCATTTGTAAAACACCATTATCAAACGCTTCGCCATCTGTAAATTACAGTACCCCATTTGTAAATGCAATTTGCAAATACCAACATTTTCATTTTTGGAGGCATCAAAAAAATAACAACATTACTATGTATAGTCCGCAGTAACCCAAATGTCTGCATATGGTCTGGATGTGGTTAACATTTGACACAAGGTGTTTGAGTGGTGCATATCCATGGGATAATAACTGATCACCAATCAACAGCCCTTATCAAATAGACACTAATATAATAGTATATTATAATGAAAAAATTATATAAAATACATATAATTTTAAAAAAATGGGCCCAAAAGGGTCGGCCGAAACCAGACTTGCCCGGCCGAAAACGACTGGGCCGATTCCAAAAATGGGCCGAAATGTGACCAAAACCACTGTGCTAGTTTTATACTTAACTACTGTTATAAGATGTGAAGGCTGTTTTGATTGGCTAAAATATTTACGAAAAACAAAAATAAAATATGTACGAATATGAATGCAAAACTAAAAAAAAAATATGTATGCAAAACTGAATAAAAATGCTAATGTCACTTTTATGCCACCGTAATTTTGTTACATGAACACAATTTTTAAATATTTCAAGTGGTAAAATTAATAAAACTTTTATCACTTAAGCAACATTAAGTATTGACCTCCATCTTGAACCCTACCTCAAATATTTCAATGTCGCAGATCGAAAATAAGTCAGTACTCAGTATTTAAGCAGAACTCAGATGACACCTTTAGACCTCTGGAACCCAAAGTGCGTTGATATGTAGCATATTAACGCACTTTGGGGTCAATTTCTCGATTTTGACCCCAAAGTGCGTTTGACCCCAAAGTGCGGTGCGAAGTTTAACGCACTTTGGGGTCGTACCCCAAAGTGCGTTTGACCCCAAAGTGCGTTGTTACAAGGCATAATGGGCCTTTAATAAGATGGATAAGGATGGATATGACATTGATCATACTTAATGCTGATTAAGATATTTGTAGATATTTGTTTTCCAGCATGTTTCTTAAGATAAGATACATCAGAGATATGCATATAAATGTTGATAAAAATGTTAGAACCCTAAAGCAGGAAGAAGAAGAAGAAGACGAACAAGCTTAATTCTTTCACAAATATCACATTATACAATTGGCAAAGCCATTATGGATCATAGTCACAATTTTATTATGTAAATATACATGTATGAATATGGGCATTAGTCATTTAACAGGCTGTTAAAAGGAAATTTAGACACCCAAAGTGTGAGAATTTTTTTTACAAAAAGGTGATTTGATTCCAATAGTAAGCAACCGTGTGCGGCCTTAATGAACATTTAGAAACTGAAATCGGTAAGAATTTTACTCCATGCAAGTGTCATAACTAGTAAGCTATTAAGTAAAAATGTTAATTTTGATTTCAATAGCGAGCGATCCTGTGCGCTTTTTATGTGCATTGTATATTGGCAGAACGGAAGGGAAATAGTTTCTTCCCGCCAAGAAGTCATAAAGCTTCTGGTACCGATCTTAGATACTTTGATATGACGTATATTGATTCAATCGGTACCAGCAAAAAATGATACTTCCTTTTTAACTTTGGCTTTGACACTTACATTTGTACTTTGTACAGACGTATTGGTTGATAAAATGCCAATTTGTGAAGTTTTCACGTTGTAGTATTTTCCAAACAGCAAATACTATCTTTATCAGAGACATTTTTCTTCAATGATATTCAAATTCTGTACAACTACTTACATTTTGTGGACATTTCATTTTCTTTGACCGTCCTTTCATTATGTGCCCGTATTTATGGCTCTTTGTTTATAATCTGTTCAAACAATAGAAACAAAAACCCGCTTTTCTTCGTTTATGGCATTTAGTCTTATTCAGAAAAAAATGACGTTAATGACGCGCAACGTCTGTTTAACTCTACGCTAAACAGAACGTGACGTTATAGCGAAAATAAAAGTTGCGTCAAATAAAAAAAAATGTTTCCATTAAAATATATACATGTATATTACTAAATGTATACAGCATATGCACAATATAACAGACATAGACTATGCATCAACATATGCGATACAAATTTTCTCATAATTAGTTATAATAATTATTTGTATTTAATTCTAAATAACACTTTCTTTCATAAACCAAAACTACTGGGAATATGATTTCAGACTTTATTTCAAACTTTTCACATGAGATTATCTCTAAGGAGAGCATTTTTGATCGCTCTTTTCAATAAATCTAGCGAATCGCAATATTTCCTTGAATAAGATTTTTCCCCTTAAATCCTGTATTCAATTATTAGTGATCTCCACTCATTGTTTTCTTCGAGAAAATCAACAGAAGAACGTCTTTATTACATAAGTAAATGATTGTAGAAATCTCACGCCTGTAAGAATAAAAACATAAGTGGTTTGCCGCAATGGACGTCTGAGATATCTGACCTTATGCAACCTTTTTTTTCTTTACCTACGTTATGTATACACGGACGTGAAATAATTTATTAGACAATCACGGTGACTACATTACGGTGTTACAATTAAACGTTGACAGTTAAGCGCTGTTCACGGTCAGTGAAGTATCCTACATGCCGCCGCTATGGGGCTATTGAAGTGGAAACTTTTACATAATTGAGTATGCAGATTTTAAACCATTGTAAACAAATCCAATTCGAGGAATGAAATCAGTAACGTAACGTCGACCGACACTTAGAGTTACGGTGTTAACGTGCCGATCGTTTTTACGTTACCACAGCATGTTTTGTTGGACGTAATATTAGGAAAAGGAAATTTATAACATAAACTTAAAAAGAGGAATATATTTTGAAACAATAAATGTGAAAATGAGGAATTATGTAATAGTTTTACTTCTTATTATTATACTATGTTGCGGCGTTAGTGCTCGTGTCAGAAACTATTATATTGCTGCCGTAGAACAGGAATGGGACTACGCCCCCACTGGCAAGGATCTCGTGTTTAATCACCAAAGGTAACGGTGAATTATTTTATCTCATTTTGTCATGAACCTTCTAACCGTAATTACCTCATATGTTTGAATTCCTAAATTCATTTTTTGGACTATATAGTTTGTATTTTTTAAGGATATGGAACTATATCTAATGAAAAAATTATATGCAATAAAACCATGTTGTTTCCGATATATTACGGTAGATTCTCGAAAAAAATGAAACATAGAATGTTTCTGTTATTTAACACACATTGAAAAAATATATGTTAACAGAATAAAATATTCCTGAACAAAATATTTTATACTGTTTTTTAAAAGGGGTTTCGAAATCATAGTGTAACAATGATTTCGTGCATGCGCCATTTGGTCTTAAGGAAATCCACAAACATATTTCTTTCGTACAGGTATTTTGAAAGTATTCATTTAAATTATTTTGCAGCAGATATATAGCTTTATACTCGTCCATTAAAATTTCAACTTGATTTTAAGGTAGTAATAGAAATGTATAATTGAAATCTGCAGTTTACTTTGTACTACATCTTTACGCCCTCGTCATGTAATTCTTCGCATCCGAACTCCAAACAGTGATTTTATTGAGCGATAAAGTCACTGTTTGGGATATATTATTTCTTAAATAATACCGTAATAATAAATTGGAAAGTTAGAACGGAACGCTAATGATAAGTGCATTATAATTCGAATGCAAGCTGTAAAAAGAAACCTAAATCACCACACTGTTTCCGAGTGGTTCAAAATTTTAAACAGGAAAACGTCGTTACTTAAAATAGACAGGGTATAAAGTATATTTAGTAAGGTCCGTACTCTCAGTGCCTGAAAGAGTGGATGGACCCCATTAAGCATGGGACACACGCACACACGCACGCACGCACACACGTACGTATATTTAGTAACGTTATACCTGTTCATAATCCGACTTCCTAGACATTGTACTGTTTACACTTATTATATTATATATTGTGTGACGTATTGTGCTTGATACGGACTACCATTCTACTAATGGACCTGTCTACATCATCATGTTAATGTTGTCAACAGTAGTTTCAGTAATTGTGACAGTAAATGCAATTTATCACACATATATCTTGTAACGTTCGTGTTGCACGTGTTACAGTTGCTTTGATATAAAAATGTTTCCTCTGTGACTCCTACACACAAGGACTTTCTTAACATTAAATGCACAAGTTGAAAGAGCAGATATGCCATTGTGACGTCAATTTTTTAATTACCATAATAAAAATACCAAAATAATTCAACGGGTCCAAACGTCCTTAAGTTAATGATTATTTGCGCATGTACTTAAGACGTCATCTTTCAAGCTGACACTTTACACTCAAATGGCAGCAATTTAAATCTAGTTTTGACCATCTGGATGCTGTTTTCCACCTACAATTCGTGACAGACCATTGGTCATCTGTGTATAAATTGGTTGTAGTGGGAGGTTTAGTTGTATAACTTGACAGGTTATTGTTTACTTGAAAATAAATGTGGTTGTTGCCTTTATTTGAATATGTTTGGGGTGAAATGAACTTTTGAACAAAGTAAGGTGTTGTTTGCAAAAAATAATGACCTCCTAAATGAGGTACATCGACCGAAATTAAAATAGATATTTTGTCACAATGGTCGTCGACTAGTGGGTCACACCTTTGCGCTGCTATTCTAATGCAATGTAATACAAAACACTTTTCTTATCGGGCTATAAAAAGAAGCAAAAACACGGCTTAAATTAAGGTTACAAGTAGGCTTTAAGTAATACTTACAATTAAACAAGATGCCAGAAATGTAACATAATAACGCATTGGTAAGGGGTCTTCCTGTACCAGTTGACCCATCGCGACATACACATAACTCGAAACAACGAAAACACGAAATTACGATAGTGAAAAGTTAATGATGGTGAAAAGTCAAAGAGACGGTGATGAAAAGTCGAAAGTACGATGGTGAAAATTAAGTATAATTTTGTGTTTTCACCATCGTACTTTCGACGTTTCATCATCGCGGTCTCGTTGTTTCGTTATTATAGTAAACGAAAATAGATAATGTATTCATGACCGAATGGTTACAGAATGCTATACATCAAGTGGAGATAGATGTTACTGCATTTCTAACAATTATCCATCTTTTTTTCTCTCGGGTTTAATTTTTTAAACGTTGCAATGTACGTTAAATGTATATAAAATGTACGTGTACGTACCGTCTAAGTGACGGTATACATGTGTACGTGACAAGCATTTAAAAATGCCCATGAAATCGTGTCTCCTCACACGGTAATACTTATGATATATTAAATATTATATCAAGATTTCAGAGAGGTAAAAGCCCGTTTTGTAATACAAATGAACTCCCAATTTCAGTTCATGGATGATAAGTATACATGTACAAAAATGAATTTAAAAAATACTACAGTAACTCAGATATTTTAATTTAAACTTCATGTATCAACATATTTTTTTAAATTATAAATTATGTGTGATATCTGTATTTTGACAGGCTGATATGGCCCTGTATAAACGTCTGTGTGATCTGAGTAATTATAATGTATTACTTTGATTAAAATATTAAAGGGACTCCTCTGAGGTCGTTTGACATGGCGTTACTGGCAATATTTTTCTAAGAATAATGTGCCATTTGATAATACCTCTTTTGCAAAATTTCAGATCATTAGCTCACTCCGTTTTTTTCCAGTTTATTATTCTTACTGTGAATGATGGCCCAAAAATTGAAAATCGTTGCGTCGCTTTTCACTGAAATCGTGCTAAGGATAGCACAAAAATACGGTTTCCCAATTTTAAAGATTTTTCTGAATATATTTCTTGTTGATAATTATCTTTTGCATTTCTTACTGTTTTATGTGCCTCAGCTGATCTGTGCAATAATTAAAAAAAAATATGTCGACCTCAGTGGAGTCCCTTTAACTCAAATCTTGGCAGCAACCATGTGTATAATTAGAACGCCAGGATTGTCCAATGAAACGTGCAGTACCATAACACACATTAGCCGCGTCATGACAAAACCAACATAATGGGTTTGCGACCAGCATGGATCTAGATCAGCCTGCGCGTCCGCGCAGTCTGATCAGGATCCATGCTGTTCGCTATCAGTTTCTCCATCTGTTATAGAGTATGTAAGCGAACAGCATGGATCCTGATCAGACTGCGCGGATGCGCAGGCTGGTCTGGATCCATGCTGGTCGCAAACCCATTATGTTGGTTTTGTCGTGACGCGGCTCACATTAAAGCTATAGTGTAAGGACGCAACTAAGTCTAAGTTTTACCATTTTAATTGATTCTTCTTTAATTAACAGCTTTTATAACAAAATCAAACTGAAAAGACATTCCTTATTCATTTGCTTAAAGAACATAACTGAAGAAAAACAGAAACTTTATTTCAGACTTGTACAAAATACATCATCATACACAATATAATCATTCAAATATATCAAATATAAGTCACATTCCATATTCATATCATAGTAAATGTAAACAAAGTACTTTTTATTGCTTAATTTATAATGACAATTCAGAAACGATGTAAACACTTATGAATAATTTTGCAAGATTGCTTATAAACAACTGCCTAAAGTGCAAATGATTGTTCGTATGTGCACATGATTGTTCGTATAAATATGTGTCAGTTCAAACTAATGTATTAAATGCATTATCATATTACTGTACTGTATGTAACCATGTACACATCTTAATAGCACTGGAAAATACATACAAAGTTTACATAATAGCATGAAGATTAGACTATTTCATATGTATTGCAAAATATGACGTCATTTGTATTAGAATTTTATCCGTCATTGAGAGCGAGTTTTTTTATACAGGAATAAAATATGACGTCATTTGAATCGGAATATATACGGCAATATTATGACGTCCTTTGAAATCGAGTTTTTTTTTTTATTTAACTTACTATGTATATGTTAGTGTTCATCCGTGCTGTTCTACAGAAATTACAAATTTCGACGGGAGCGATAGCGACAGGAGAATGTTTCTAATTTCTGTAGAACAGCTAAGGATGAACACTTACATATTTAGTGTCAAGCTTTATTTGGCCCTTGATTACGTCACTACGCGGTACTATGAAGCACTATGAAAAATAGAAGGCGACTATGAACGGATTTCAATATAGTATCGACTTTTTTCTTCTATGAAAATTAACACACATAATTTTTAAGAAATACAGCGTTTTCATTGGATGACAAATAAAGCTGGACACTAAGTACAGTGTTGGAGCAGTACATCTAGACGCTTGCAGAAATCATGATCACAGAGTAGAAATGACCGATTCTTTCAATTTTCATTCATTATCGTTTATAAATCGGTGTGAACAAATGAATTAGAAGTCTAAGAGCGCATTTTGACAGGTGAAAACGCAATATTTAGCATTGAATCATTCAAGGGCTTTGTCTGGTATATACCGGAATACGTATTGAGTTTTTTTTTAAATCTTACTCCGGGGATAAAATTGACGTCATTTGTATCGAGTTTTATCCGGAATGTAGGCCTATGTATAGATATTACAGCATGACTGATTATTACGTGTATACTTTAAGCATCCGTTAATTACAGCTTTTAATGTTTTAATTAAAAGTTTATGACCTCCTATAAATTAATACATTAGATATGACATGAATGTTTAATTAATATTTTGCTTATTATTCTTGAAATACTGCTGTAAAGAAAATTTTGATTTTTTTTCCATTTTGATTGATTGTTAGACATTAAAGTTTTGCAAATTATTGCTCAGACAGCCTATCAATCCTAAATTTTCTATTTTAGCCTTATTTCTAAAATGACTCCTTTTTTTGTATGACGTCACACTCATATAAAAATAAACGTTTAGTCTTCGTTCTTAACTTACTAAATTTTGATACACAAAGCCAATCACACTTTGGTGCATTTATTTTACAATACAATTTAACATTTACTTGAGCAACACCCTTTGAGAGACGTTTGAAGATTTTGATTGTTAAGAGGAGATATCCAAGAGAATTTAAATATATTGTTAACTCGTACGAGTAGATACTATTGATGTAAAGAGTTTGTTGCTCTAAGAGGGCCACTTTGAACAGGTTACACTGTATATTCAAATTACGGAATGCCGTTAGGGCCATTGCCTATGAATGTGTTGATCTGAAACGCGATAGTCGATAGTACGATGGTGAAAACGCGAAATCACGAAACTACGATGGTGAAAACGCGAAAGCACGATGATGAAAATGCGAAAGTACGATGATGAAAACGCGACAGTACGATACTACGATGATGAAAGCGCGATAAACTATCGTGTTTTCACCATCGTACTGTCGCGTTTTCACCATCGTAGTTTCGTGATTTCGCGTTTTCATCATCGTAATGTCGTGTTTTCATCATCGTACTATCGCGTTTTCACCATCGTACTATCGCGTTTTCACTATCGTACTATCGCGTTTTCATCATCGTACTGTCGTGTTTTCATCATCGTACTATCGCGTTTTCACCATCGTACTGTCGTGATTTCATCATCGTACTATCGCGTTTTCATCATCGTACTATCGCGTTTTCACCATCGTAGTTTCGTGATTTCGTGTTTTCACCATCGTACTATCGACTATCGCGTTTCAGATTAACACATTCATAGGCGATGGCCCTAACGGCATTCCGGAATGCCGTTAGGGCCATCGCCTATGAATGGTTTGATCTGAAACGCGATACTCGACAGTACGATGATGAAAACACGAAATCACGAAACTACGATGGTGAAAACGCGACAGTACGATGGTGAAAACACGATAGTTTATCGCGTTTTCATCATCGTAGTATCGTACTGTCGCGATTTCATCATCGTACTATCGCGTTTTCATCATCGTGCTTTCGCGTTTTCACCATCGTAGTTTCGTGATTTCGCGTTTTCACCATCGTATTATCGACTATCGCGTTTTAGATCAACACATTCATAGGCGATGGCCCTAACGGCATTCCGTATCAAATAGATACACAACATAACCGTGATGCGAATGTCATTGCAATTCTTTTTTTGTAACTATGAAGAAAGTTGTCTGTTGATTCAAAAAGTGCGCATATTTATATAATAAGAATCTGATGTGAAATATGTGGCCAATTTAAGGACTAAGTATATCATAAAAAATTAAAAACAATCTGTAACTTTTTACAAACAATCTTATTGCGGTTTTGTAAAAAACATTGTTTTGAAATTTATGACAGTTTTTGCTGGCAGTTACATAAATTTATAACGTAACCAAGAGCACATGTTAAATAAATATGTCACTTTAAGACATTTCAAAACATAAAAAAGTTCAAGTTTAATTTCAAGAACGAAAACTGTTAGAAATTATATTAAAACAATTAAGCTGATGTCAGACAAATAACAAGTTTTTCCATTAATTTCTGTTTACAAAGAGTATAAACTATATACATTCTATATATATAACATTGTATTTCTTCACCGTCGTGAACAAGTCAAAAATCTCTAGAAAAAAGAAATTGATGTCCTTATTCATCACAATTATTTTTACATGTTTTAATCGAACAGGTTGTAGGCGGCTACTTGAATGATTTATCTATGTTAACATTTGACAAAACCCCTGTTAAAACCGACAGCAGAAAACATTTATTGCCTATAAATCTGACAGTGTTAACATTATAACAGTGACGGTTTTATTATTGTCATTTTGAATCAAGGTTAATGGGTTAAAACAAGGCATTCCTCTCCCTGCACCCCTTTTTAAGCCATTCATACATCGTTACTTATTATCAACTTATTATCAATAATACCGAGGAAAATGTCCAGGAGATATACATGTATAATAATAATCATTTATACAGCTAATAATAATGCATGCCAATAGATTTTATTTGCATAAAACATTGTACTTATGACAATAGCATCAAAATGCTGAGAGAAAAATTCCAATGCACATCCCATTATAAAAAAATAAATATAAATAAGCCTTTTTCCTCTTCATCTTCTTTTCCTTCTTCTTCTTCTTCTTCTTGTTTTCTTCTTTTTTTTTCTTTTTTTCTTCTTTTTATTCTTCTTCTCCTAAAAAATATAACAGTTGGAAATACTATTGTAAACAACTGTTTATAAGAAAAATTTTAAGCTTATATATGTAAAAAGCCGACTGGCTATATGTTGGGCGGATAAATTTTGGAAAGAAAACCAATAAATTATTTCGATTCAATTAAGAATCAATATATGTTCATATAAATGATCATTAACATCAAAAACCTATCAAATATCGGCAGTAAACCTGCTAAAAGGTGTCAAATAGAAAGGATATGTGTCAGTAATGTACGCCTGTAAGAATGTATGACTGCGTGCTTCCCTTCACTTGATCATATAACGATGATAAATCGTCGTCAAGTCTTGATTATCAAGTGTTAAATATAATACATTGACGTCATATAAAAGTGAACATTTGAATGATGTAAACTCAACGCGTGTATCGCGCTTGCGTTAATAATAATAATAATTGATAATAATTGATAATAATAATAATAATAATTATAATTATTATTATTATTATTATTGTTTATCATTTTATCAATATTTGAAATATCTTTGTGTACATAACAGAAATGCGCCTATTACATAACGAATCAGCTTTATTTTAAAAAAATATGCATTTTACTTTTGCTGGTAAAATAAAAAGTGTTTCATAGGTAGATTTTCCATGTCTAAAGCGCCAATCATTGTATTTGATTGACGCAATTATTGAATAAAAATAGTCGTTTTTTTCAACAAATATACAAAATAAGAAAATCTTACATAAATCTAAAATAAATAAATTAAAAAAAAAACACATAAAAACGGTGCACTGGAGGTCATTGGAATGAAGTTAATGTAAAGATACTATACACATTTGACAAAGACGACGTGGATTTTTTATGGAAAATACCAATATATCTTTATATGCAGTTTTTACTTAGGAGATTTTTTTCGTATTTAATATCGTTTTAAAGGGGCGTCACTGGCCGTGTGGTTAAGGTCATTGACTTCAAACCAGTTGCCCGAGTTCGAATCCCGACAGGGACATTTGATTCCTTCATGTTAGGAAGCAATCCAGTTAGCTCACAGAACGTCGATGGATGTACTCAGGTACCCGTTCGTGCCTGAAATAATGCATGGAAGGGAACATGAGTTCTTCCTCCACCAGTAAAGCTGGAAACGCGCCATATGACCTATACTGTGTTGGTGTGACGTAGAACCCTACCAAATAAAAATGTCGTTTTAAATATTGTTTTCATTTCTCTTGTAGCGAAGCTGACCTCCGTATCAAGACGAAGAAGGACCGTATAGGCAGCAAATATATGAAAGTTGTGTATAAACAGTACACAGATGGTACTTTCACACAAGAAATACCTCCGCCTGCACACCATGGGTAAGGAACTATTTTCATCATATCATTATCATGCTAAAACACTTTTGCGTCTTTTCGTCCTTTCGGCCACAATGTGCAACGGTTTCAGTTCAAATACATGTATACAGAAATTTAAAAAAGTAAAGACGAACACGAATGTCGTGACAATGTATCTAAACAGAAGTGAAGCCGTCCGGTTAGCTCAATAGGTCGGGCGTTGGACTGTCTATCGGGCGGCCTGTGTTCGATTCTCGGACGGTGCAGGTCACTTTCGTTGTGATTGATCAAGAAAATCCTACTACAGTCATGTAGCTCTGCTCTGGTATGCACAAAAGTTATCAGTTCCTTGCGAAAGTAACGGCAACTATTATTGGTTAACTGTATTGGTTAACTGCTTGACAGCCTGTCTAAGAACGATGCGATGGCTAAAATGAGCTCTGGGAAAAATCAACGTGGCTTACTGCCTTGATTCGAAACGAAAGATACTAACACCGACACCTAATCAAAAGTTACAGACAGGTACAAAATATTCACAGATTTTAAAGATAGGGAAACCAGCCAAAATATATACGTTGTACTCAAACAATATCACGAGACCCGCCTCTATACAAACTGATTTCAAAAATGTAATCTCTGCAAGGCGGGTTTCTGCGGAACGATATCCTTTTTACATCAACAGTTCGGGTTCTTCGCAGAGGAACAGTGCGAATGACCGTGGAAAGAATTTCATGATCAATCACATCGAAAGCCCGAGAATCGAGCCCGAGTCGCCCGATTCACAGTCCAACGCTCTACCTATTGAGCTTGACGGACGGCTTAGGTCCACAAACTTCGGAAGCTGGACATGTCCGTTTAAAACAATAAGCAGGTAAAGTGTTAACGAAACTGTTTTGTACCAGCAGAAACAGCAGAACTGTTGCAATGATAAGGTAAAAAATGTAACATGTGACGAATAGATGTAGCGGTTAATCATTCTACCATAGTTTAATTAAAGCATCCGTCATCGTACTACATCAAACAACAGTGCATCAAAAAAAAATGGCAGGTTTAAGCGTAAATCTGTTTCTGGTTTGCTAAACACATACAGCACACACATATATGAACTCATAAATTGTGTCGCTAAAATTATGGAGAAGACGCCTGAAAAAAAATTATATAGAGGAGAAACCATTGTTTTTTGAATCGTATGGATTTTACTAGAGTGGATCGTAGTCGGCTCGTTAATGATTAATCCACTTGAGTCATATACAAGTTCCGGGTCAAGATTTTCTTCTAATATCCCTATTGTCTTAGAAGAGGTCTCAGAAAAAAATAATAATAAGATAGAAATCTTGTCATTAAGTCATTAAGTATTATCTAATTATAATCTAATTAAATATAGATATAATTCTCTTCAAGTATATTTTTACTTTGTCTTAATAAGAACATTTCGTATATTCAATATACCGGAAATACGTTTAAAGGAAATAGAATTAGTCCTCATCATACATTCAAAGATTGTCTGTTAACCACAAAACATAAATAGAAACGTTTGCAATATTTAGCAAGGGAAAAAAACAACATATATGACGTTAATAATTGATCACAAATATGTTCTTACATGCTATTATTTATATTTATTAAACAAGGCGTGTGACAAACTGTTACCTTGTGGTACTCCACATTGTATTAAAATGTACAGTAACTGCCATGGTGCGTCAATGTTGGACTAATGGTGTTAAAGTTACAAAAGCCCTAATTGAGCAATTTTGAATTATGACAAGACAAATTAGGGCATGGAGTAATATTTGTAACATACTGGAAGAAATAAAAAGTAATGGCCTACGTTATTTTTTATAAGAACATGACATTAAACACGAATTTTGCTGTCCTATCCGAATTCTGGCTTAGTTTCATCATCTGCTTCTGAATTCGCATTAATTTAGTGTAGGTTTAATCATAAAAATGCATCTACGTGGTTTAGTTAATTCTTAAGGACTCAGTGGACCTGATCCTTTAAATATGAACATTTTTAAGATCATACTGCCCGAAAACCCAATTCCAAGTTGTCCAAAACATTTTTTATACAATTAGTATAAGTGTTGTTAGCCACTACTAAACGATATATGCTATTCATTGATACAAGTTTGCATTCAATGCTCTTTAATTAGAATTAAGTCTGGTAATAGAATATAATTTATTTTTACCCCCAATCACACCTTAAATATACCAGTAAGGTTATTTGCATGGATATGCCTGATACGAATTCTGAAAGTTTGAATTGTTTTGATTATTCATAAAACTAATCGATTACTGGTAATTTTTTAAAAAAAGATATATAATTAAATACTCATGTAAAACTACTTTTTTGGTGAATTATTATTTGAGTTTTAAGAATACTGATTTTGATTAATATCGTTTTTGTTGTTTTTTTTCGTTTTTTTACACAAATCGATATACAATAAAATAACCAACATTTATTCTTAAGGTAAGAAAGTGACGTCAATATAGTTTAAAAATAAATGGAATTTATTAGGAAGAAAATGTTTTTAACGTGACCATTTTATTATATTTTTTCTTCTTTTCAGGTATATAGGGCCAACACTTAAGGGGGAAATAGGAGACCAGCTAAATATTCAGTTTAGAAATGTCATTACGCAAGTGAATGCAAATCTAAGTATTCATCCGCATGGACTATTTTATACAAAACACCATGAAGGTTTGTATTACATTTACATATTTTTAGTTTAATTGCGCCTAAAATACGTCTGCAAAATATCCATACGTATTAGGAGAAGACGTCATCCCCATTTATTTCCCTAATATTGAAATGTTAAAAACATTTCTAAAAGGTTTTTTATCGGTGAATATATGGAATACAATACTGCATAGGAAATCAAACGTAAGAATAGACACATTGTGATAATTGCATTTTCCAGAACCACTACACCGATGTTGTTTTTCCTTATCACATTACTCCTGTGTTATTCCGCCTGAACTATGCTTTTAGTTTTGTGACCTTTCGTTTATGAATGATTGTTTAAAAAATGGTGTAATCTCTAAAGATACAATGCATGCGTGCAAAAGAGCCTGATTAATTGTAGTCTATTATAATTATTTCTTTATCATATTATTTCAGTTTTAAGTACTCGAGTTTGATGTTCAAATTTTAAGATTTTTAAGTTTTATGCTAATAGACCTTTGGACCTTAGTGGAAACCCTTAACAAACTTCACAGAAATGATCGTTATGTAGTCCAGTAAAAAAGTTACATTTATAAATGGTTTCAGACTGATGAATAAAGGGATCATATGAGCTAAAAATAGACTTGATTCTTTATAGAAATTTTAATGCTCAGACCCTAGATATTTGGTTTAAAGCATCAGCATGTAGTCCTGTAAAGATGTATGAGTCATGCCACTAGGGTAACTTAGTTGATATAGACTTCTATAGGAATCAAATATTCTTGAAAACTGCAATGTAGAATTTGCTCTCAGACCTCTATAAATATTTATAAATCATGTTGTTGTTGATGATGTTGTGAACAAAACTGACACATCCAAAGTGACCTTATTATACTATTTTGTTGATGTTTTAGAATTTTTGTAATAGAAATCACGTAATCAGTGCCATCTATTTTCTTTTTTTTGTAATTTTCGAATTTCTTGTGTTGCAAGACACAAAAATTGCACACAGAGTTTTTCATTTAAGTGCACCATGGATGAGGTTCATAAGATGAAGGGTCTAAATAAAACGGCTTTCATAATATGTAACTGCTGTTACTGTAGGCTTACTAATATTTTATCTATTTTGTTAAAAGTAAATTTTGTTTTGCCTGCTTTGCAACGACAATATGTTCATATGTTGTTGTTTTTGTTGTTGTTGTTGCTGCTGTTAATATTATTATTGTTATTTTTACATTGTATTATTATTATAATTATTATTATTATTTACAGGTGCGCTATATTTAGACGGTGAAAACTCTATTGCTAAAGTAGATGATTGGGTACCGCCAGGGGGCTCTCATACATATATCTGGAATATCACACATAATTTTGCCCCCACCGAGGCAGACGATAATTGTATTCCATGGGGCTATCATTCACATGTTGACTCTATGGTAGATATTGAATCTGGTCTCGTGGGCGTCTTCGTCGCATGCAAACCTGGTAATTCTTATTTTATTGTCCAAAATATAAAATGAGCCGTGTCATGACAAAACCAACATAATGGGTTTGCGACAAGCATGGATCCAAACCAGCCTGCGGATCCGCGCAGTCTGATCAGGATCCATGCTGTTCGCTTACAAACTCTATAACGATAGCGAACAGCATGGATCCTGAACAGACTGCGCGGATGCGCAGGCTGGTCTGGATCAATGCTGGTCGAAACGCATTATGTTGGTTTTGTTATGACACGGCTCAAATAATCATTTTATGAGGGTTAAAACTTCCCACCAAGAAAGGTACGGGTGTTTGTGAATCTCAATACAACAAATGTTGTCCTTGGTCATCATTTAATATAAATAATATGTACAACACAAGCCACAAACAAAAATAGAAACATTTGCAATATTTCGCATGAGGAAAAAAACAACATATGACGTAAATAATTGATCATAAATATATACTTACATGTTTTATGTATTTATTAAACAATTAATGCATGTAACAAAAAGTTGCCTTGTGGTACTCCACATTTGTATATAAATGTAGAGTAACTAGTGCGTCAGTGTTGAACTAATGGTGTTAAAAGTTACATCAGATTTCTAAAAGCACTGACTGAGCGAAAAAAAGTAATTTGTATAAAAACATGATACAATTTATTGATGGAATACAGTTTTAAGTACATGTATCTGTTTAATTCCTGCTTATAATCCTATGTGCACAAACAAGATAAGATAATTACCTAACCCGGATGCTCCGCATATGATACATGTATATAATTATAATCTTGATCTGGGTATACATCAAAATCAGCATTTTGAAGCTTTTTAAACAAGTTATTTTTATATTAAAGTCCCATTATGTCGCAGAATGCTTCAAGATCTTTTTATTTTTGGTATTCTTTTATATTTTCAAACAAGTTACTCATTGACCAATTACCTGAACTGCCTTTTTCAATTGTTGCTTTTCTTGCAATTAGTACATATAAAGTGATTTTGACATTACATTGACTGCCATTTTCTTCTGACTGCCATTTTCTTCTATCATGCCCTAAAAACATTTTTAAACGTTATAAAACTCATGTTTGTTCTTTCTAAAGAATTAACAAAAATAATTTTCATTTGTCATGCGTATTGTGTCTTTAAGAATTATTTTCAGCATTTAATTTAATAACGATTTGTTATGAAAAAGACTATACCGTTACAAATTTCACATGCATTAAAGATATCCCTGCATTATGTATTAAACATGTTATTACTTTGTTTCTAGGTACGCTATTACCGGATGGACGTAGAAGGGACGTAGATCAGGAAATTGTTCTATACACTGACGTCACAGACGAAAGTCTAAGTCATTATATTAGCGTCAACGTCCGTCGGTGTCTAGATCCACACGTCTGTCTCCAACTTTTGCGAAATAAAAACGAAAAATTTTTAGCCAGCAATAAGATGTATCACATTAATGGTTACGTTTACGGAAATCTACCACGTCTTGACGTCTGTGAAGGCAATGACGTGGCTATTTATACGTTTGCTCTGGCTAACGCGATACACACAATGCAAATATATGGACAAACGTTTGTTATTAAAAAGCATAGGTAAGGTTAAATGTCATCAGTATATTTTGATTTCATACTTAGAATTCTAATATATGTTTTAATAATATTAATACATTAATAAAGATTTAAAGACTAGATCTAGAATATATAGATTTGCGCCAAAACATCTAATCATTTTTTACGTAGTTAAACGTTGTTAATAACTATATATTGATGTAATATTGCAGACAAGCAGACGTCTTAAATAACAGATGACATAATTTATATAAAATAACAGTACCAAAGTGGTTTCAGGTGGTTTGCTGACAACAACAAAAAAGTTATACACTTATATTCTCAATTTCATATGAGTTTTTTTTTTTAGAAAAATCTAAATATCAAATTGTTGCTAATATTTCTTTATAATTATCTCTCACATTTTTACCCGTAGAACGGATGCTGCCTCAATTTATCCAGCTACATTTCACACAATGAACATGGTGCCAATTAATGTCGGAACATGGCTTCTAGTTTGTCGAAATAACGACCATCTCCATGGTAATATGTTGCTCATATAAAAGATCATTTTAGCCGCGTCACGACAAAACCAACATAGTGGGTTTGCGACCAGCATGGATCCAAACCAGCCTGCGCATCCGCGCAGTCTGATCAGGATCCATGCTTCTCGCTTACCAATTATATTACAAGTGGAGAAACTGATAGCGAACAGCATGGATCCTGATCAGACTGCGCGGAGGCACAGGCTGGTCGGGATCCATGCTGGTCGCACACGCACTATGTTGGTTTTGTCGTGACGCGGCTCATTTTACCTCAAAATACGATCAATATATATAATATTAACTTTTATTTTTATGATTTGTGTTGTTGTTGTTGCTTTAAAGGTTAACCGTTTCCGCACAATTCTAAAATGAGTTACTATATCTGTTAAATATGTGTTCCTGCTGTCAGATGGTATTTATTGGTCATATAGCTAAACCATTGTTGCTGTTTTTGACATAAGTAAAATGTAGTGACTTTGTATTTTGTATGGAAAACAAATTACAGTTTGTTTAAGTTTATATAACAAATTATATCATATTTAACACTGCTTTCTTCCTGTATTAAGCAACTCAAATTTAAACATTTTACCTTTAAAGTTAGAGAATTAATCGTATTCATTTATAAGGATTAATGTGCATTAAAATAGATTGAAATTTATGATAAATATAAAGGATAATTTATAATTTTGCAAAATAAAAACTCGCCATTTGTTTGATATAACATTGTGTATATTAGCATAATTATATGATAGCATAAACTGTTTAAATGTAACGCCCTATCCAATATTTCCATATCATTATTATCAAAGTAAATCCTTGCCAAGAAACCCCATTAGACGCTTTATCCCGTTTGACTATATATGCACTACTGAAAGATTATCCTGTCACTCTATATGTTGTGATATTCTTGGTAGTTTTCACTCCTGATCACGGCAGTAAGCCACATTGAATTTACCAGAGCACAGTTCAGTCACCGCATCGTTCCTGGGTAGGCTGTCAAGTAGTTAACCATCACTAGTTGCCTTCACTTTCGCAATTATATAACTGATAACTTTTGTACATGCAAGAGCAGAGGTACAGTGCGAATGACCGTAGAAAAGATTTCGTGTCAATCACACAACGAAAGTGACCTGCACAGTCCAAAAATCGACCCCGGAGCGCCCGATTCACAGTCTAACGCTCTACATATTGTCAATCAAGATACAAGCAATTACCATTTGAGCCGTGTCATGACAAAACCAACATAGTGCGTTTGCGACCAGCATGGATCCAGACCAGCCTGCGCCTCCGCGCAGTCTGATCAGGATCCATGCTGTTCGCTAACAAACTCTATAACAAGTAGAGAAACCGATAGCGAACAGCATGGATCCTGACCAGACTGCGCGGATGCGCAGGCTAGTCTGGAACCATGCTGGTCGCAAACCCATTATGTTGGTTTTGTCATGACACGGCTCATTTATCAAGGATGATCAGAATAAGTGATAGTATAACTTTGTTTACTTGTCTTACAGACGGTATGACGGCATTCTTCAATGTCAAGCGATGTAGTCAGGAACCCATGCCGGACACGCCGGCAGGCAAGAAGCGGAGGTACTTTATCGCCGCCGAGGAAGTGAACTGGAATTATATGCCCGGGGGCAAAGACTTGTTTACTTCCGGCAAAATTGAAATGGATCACGGATTTTCAAGGTATAATTCACATTTGATAGTCTGCTGTTGTAGATTTTAGTTACTAAATTTGAACAAAACAACCTACATAATTATGTTGATATTCATTAGAGCATGACATGCTGTATGTAGAATATGATTTATTAATTGTATTTTGTTTTCAATAGCAATGCTTGATGAATAATGATGGAAAGAAAAAAAATCAAGAAATAATCAATTATTTGTTAATTTTTGCGAAAGATACAGTGAGAGAACAATAACGAAATATAGAAATATAAGCGGCTGCTTTTACTCATATAAATTCATAAACCGTTAACATATCTATCTTCTGTAAATTCAATTTAAATTTATTTTCAGTAACTCTCACCACCATATGCACCACGGTGAGCACCACGATGCCCTCGGTAACACGTATAAGAAAGCTGTCTTTGTCGAATATGAGGACGAATTTTTCAGGTTAGCATGAAGTTGTCAGACAATATGGTTGTTGTACCATTCGGATGTCAGTGTAACATTTGGTTGTCAGACAACATTGCTGGCGCACCATATCGTTTTTGGACAAAATGGTTGTCTAACTATGTGGTTGTTTTACAATATGGTTATCAAGCCATGTGGTTGTCTTACAATATGATTTTCGAGTAATGTGGTTGTCTTGTCTTACAATATGGTTATCAAACAATGTGTTTGTCTTACAATATGGTTATCAAACCATTTGGCTGTCTTACAATGTGGTTGTCGTGACATGTGGTTGTCTTACAATATGGTTGTCGTGCCATGTGACTGTGTTACAAAATGAGTGTCGTGGCAAGTGGGTAACGGACAATTTAGACAATATGAGCAATGTGGTTGTCACACAATATGGTTGTCGTGCCATGTGGTTGTGAGACGACAAGGTAGGCATACCATGTGGTTGTCGAACTCTTCTTAAAATAGCAGCATATTATTTTGTTCTAATAACGTACAATATTCATGTTTGTAAAACGACAGAGGCATTCTATGTTACAATTCCTTCGAGAACGAGAAATTACCAAAATATCATGGGGACAACACAATTTTACAGTTTATCAGTGTTATAAAAATATTGTATAACATACACGTACATGTATATATCTGTATACATGTACATTTTTATTGTGTGTTCGATGAGTATTATATGCGGGATTTTGTTTGTTTGTTTGTTTTTTTAAACATATATCTATCATTTATTTCAGGAGAATGAAGCCTCGTCCTATCGAAGAAGAACATTTACATATGCTCGGACCCCCTATTAAAGTAGAGGTTGGGGACACTGTTGAAGTGGTCTTTCTAAATAAGGCGTCCAGACACTATTCCTTCTTCCCACATGGTGTTGGCATTGACAAGTCACAGGAAGGGTCCGTTTATTATACCCGAGATAGTGGTAAATATTTTAATACTGGTCTACTTTCAATCCGTGATATGTTTGAAACATTTTCATATGGTTTTGTCTTTGTAGAGGTGAACAACGCCTCTAACTCTAACCTAACTTCCTTGCTCTGAATCCAGTAAATATCATAAGATTTAGGCTTTTATATTCCTTGCTATAGACACGTGACTAAAATTTTGAAGATATGATTGTATGTCTCAAAGAAGAAGGAAAAGTTGTGTATTCACCCGAAACCAAACCCGCATTGTTTTTGACACATTTCTTTCCTTATACGTGATCAGTTCAAAATAAATGAAATTACTTTAATAGTGGAATACAATAGAAATAGTGCAGATCTTGATGTTGAATGAAAACCAAACATTTGAAATTGTCTGTATAATGAGTGTATTGATGTTTTAACTTTTACAGTAAATGCCCCATATGGTCTGATTACCGAACCAAGAAAGATAACAACATATCAATTCAAAGTGCCATGGACCGCCGCGCCAACAGCAGACGACCCGAATTGTCTTTCTTACACATATCACTCCGCGGTAGATATCCGGAAGGATACTAACACTGGGTTAATTGGTCCTCTGCTTGTGTGTAAACCAGGGTCACTGGACAAGGGCAAACAAGTAAGTAGCATGTCGTAATAAAAGTATAATAAAAAAAAACTGGTTGTTTTTCTCTGACATGACAGGGCTCATGATTTGTGTACCATAAGAACAAAGTCTGAATTTAAAACTTGTGTTCTTTTTCCATGATGAGTCAAAATGAAAAGTGGTTCGACGCATGTATCTCAAATGGGACTAAATATCGCCCTAAATATCGATTATCTAATTTACTAATAATTTACTAGTTTAAAAATACCTTAAAATATTTGCTCGCTGGAGCCTACACACTGGTTTTTGGCTTCGCGCGTGAAGATATTTCTTAGGTATTTTAAAATAGTAAATTATAAGTAAACAATGTACATAATAGTTGTTTAAAAGAAGGAACATTCGCTCTATTGTTCAGAAGGAATCTTTTTCTTAATATTTTTGAAACCCTGCTAAACGGCGATTCCTAACAGTTTTTGGAAATGCTAATACTTGTAATTTTGTTACAACCGTTTATAGGAGTTTGGAGGGGGCATTATAAAAATTACTAAGACTATCGTTATTTCCCTTTTTAAAATGGTTATCAAGTTATTTACAGTGACTATTCATGTTTACTTTATGTTTTTGTTTAAGGTACACGTGAACAAGGAAATATTTGTTCTGTTTCACGTTGTTGACGAGAATTTATCATGGTACATTGACGAGAGTATACGAGAGTTCTCCCCTGATAAGGCGTTACTTAACAAACAAGATGAAGCTTTTAAGCATGGAAATCTTATACATGGTTTGTAAAACATTAATTTATGATACATAAAACATTTGAGCCGCGTCATGACAAAACCAACATAGAGCGTTTGCGACCAGCATGGATCCAGACCAGCCTGCGCATCCGCGCAGTCTGAGCAGGCTCCATGCTGTTCGCTTACGAGCCATATAACAAGACGAGAAATTAATAGCGAACAGCATGTATCCCTATCAGACTGCGCGGATGCGCAGGCTGGTCTGGATCCATGCTGGTCGCAAACACATAATGTTGGTTTTGTCGTGACGCGGCTCATTTATGTATGATACATAAAACATTTATTTTTGATACATAGAAACATAGAAATGAGTGAAACTGAACATTTTAGAATATTCACGTTTCATCGGTATTTCCAAAATACGTTACATACTAGACGGACACTCCTCCTGTTTAATGTCTTTGTATACAGATTTTGCTAATGTTTTCTTATAATTCTATTAAAGCAGCATTTTTCAAGATTCATTCTAATTTTCGCGAAAAACATTGAACAAAATTTTTAAAGTAAAATATTGTGAAGTAAACAAAAAAATAATTTACACATTGCAATCGGCACTTATAATCTGTGGAAATTACTCCCCCACCCCCACCCCTTCCAAAAAATAATAGCATAGCTCTTACTGCGTTAGTTAGCAGTAGAAATATGTGATAAATACTGCAAATTCAGTCTTTAATGCGCATAACATGTAAATAATTACTGGAATCTTGAATCATTTTACTTTTCTTAAAACCTTAGTACATTTTCTCTAGTTTGATTTCTTTGAAATATTTTGGCTCATCTATGCATAATTGGCAACTTTGTAAACAAAAGTATGATCTCTTTTTTTCAGCAATTAATGGACGAATATATGGAACATTGAATGGAATTGACATGTGCTTAGGTGATCGAGTGTCGTGGCATTTTCTAGGTGTAGGTTCGAGTAAGGATTTGCACGGAGTTGCCATTGAAGGAAACTCGATGGCAGTGAATGGACGAACGCTTGATTCGAAAATTATCATCCCGGGTCTTGGTTTTACAGGCTACATGCATCCAGACAATGTTGGTGAGTAAACTTCCCTCGGACTTTAAATTGCTTGAATGGGCTGCTAAAAAGAATTAAAATATTTTATGAATGTGTCTTCGTTAAACTTACAAAATGCATTTTTATTACAAATCATAACTAGCAAAACCCTGTCACATATTTATATAGAAGGTTATACTCCATATAAAACGTTTCTTATATGTCCAGATCGTACTTAATTAACGTAAAGTTGATTATTTTATGTGAATTCTATTATAAATACAAAATTGAGGAACATATCTATAAATTCTTATTAATGAAAATAATCGTGTTTTGTTGCCATTTTGCTTTTGTTGCTTTTAAACATATCCCAGTACATTTCATCCATTACCAATCATAATAATGTGAGGACGATACGATATACATTCACCCATTTATCTATCATAAATGTGTGAGGACGGAAGTTATAATAACAGGATTGCTTATATTTTTGGTTATAATTTTGGTTTCATTTTAACAGGAAAGTGGGCGTTATATTGTCATACTCACCACCACTTGATGGCCGGCATGACATCAATGTACAGTGTTAATGTGTGCCAGAATCCACAAAGTCTTCCGGTTGTTCCAATGAAGCCCTCTGGCGGCGTTCGTCGGTATTACATAGCTGCTGTGGAAATCGACTGGGACTACGCCCCTTCAGGAATTGACAAAATAATTGGAAAGCCTCTAACAGATAACACAGCGTAAGTTTACACAATATTATTCATAGATGCATACACCTATTGGATGTAGTTTTAGATTTCAAAATTATAATTTTACATTGCCCTTTTATTTTTGTACCAATACATTTGTTCGAACAAAGCAAAGTTAAGTAATTTGTCCTAACACCTAGATAAGAAGTAATAATATAGGTGTGTTTGGAATAATAAATACGAGAAAAGTACCTATACTTACACATTATGTACTTTTATGAAATGACTTTGCATTCCTGGAACCAAAATAATCAACAGTTAAAAGTCTTTCAGCCAGCCTTCACATTTTTGTTGTCTGACCAGGCTCTATACCATTGAAAGTTCAAATATTATATTTTATTATTGAAAACTCTTTAAAGCAGCAGCCTCCATATGCACGCTAATTTTTATGAAAATGTAATAAAAAGTAAAATGCTGTCAAGTAAACAAAGAAAGTAATTTACACATTGCAAACGACACTTAAAATCTACGAAAATCACCAAAATTAGGTCAGAATATGTCAGAAAAGCCTTTATTGCGTAAGTCACGCAATACAAAGATAGGGACGAATACTGCAAAGTCAGCCATTTAACGCATATAACGTTTAAATTGTTACTTGAATCTTGAATATTTTTTACCTCTCTTAGAATCTTGGTACATTTTCGTTAAGTTAGATTTTCTTGACTAATCTGGAGACATACAGCTTTAAGTCTGAATGGACTGTTTTAAATTCAAAACTGGGCACATTCATTACACAAAAGGTTAAGGGTTAATTAACACGATATTCATATAATTCCAGGAAATCTTATTTGTATACAAGAAGTGACGGTGGATTTATGGGAACTATTTACAAGAAAGCAGTCTACAGAGAATTCACAGACGACACTTTTAAACATGAAAAGAAACGCGGCTATCGAGAAATACACTTGGGAGTTATGGGACCGTTTATTCGTGGCGAGGTTGGTGACGTCATTGAAGTTGTATTCATGAACAAAGCTTCTCATCCCCTTTCTATAAAACCACACGGAGTATTCACTAATAAAGGAAATGAGGGTATGAAGTACAATGACGGGTCAGTCCACCGGGGCGATAACGAGGTTCAGCCCGGGAAAGTATTCACCTATAGATGGACTGTCCCACAGAGGGCTGGTCCCGGACCGAATGAGCCAAATTGTATCGGGTGGATGTACCATTCAGCTGTCAATATGATAAGGGATGTGCCTACTGGACTTTTCGGGCCGTTAGTTACATGCAGAAGGGGTGTTCTAGACGCCAAGAACCAACGCTTAGATCATCACTCGAGAGAATTTGCCATGTCATATTACATCATAAATGAAAACAGGAGTTGGTATATTCGTGAGAACATGCAGAGAACGAAAGAAATGGCGCCACATGAAGAGTTTGAAGAGAGTAACTTGATGAATAGCATTAATGGTTATGTCCTCGGAAATACCCCAGGTATGGTAATGGAGGTTGACGAACATGTCACGTGGTATGTAATGGGACTTGGGTCTGAGGACGATTTCCATACAGTTCATTTTCACGGTCAGACGTACGTACACAGGACAGCAAAATCACATCGAGGTGATGTTCTTGAAGTGTTTCCTGGGACATACGAAACTGTTGACATGTATACAGATAATCCGGGCACTTGGCTTCTACATTGTCACGTGATGGAACATTTATCACATGGAATGGAAGCTAAATATGCAGTGGTTCCAAAGGGAGGTAAGTTGTCTCCTAATTATTACACGAGCATTATAGTTATCAGAAATTAGTCATTTTATACCGTATTTTTTTTTAAATAAATGTAACTTTACAGGAAAAACCTTGATAGATAAACTTATATGAATCTATGTGTCTCAAAAGCAAATATTGACAATAATAGTCAAGTTTTTGGGCTACACAGTTATATTATCTTATTCATGCATTTACAATTTCAAAAGAAACAATTTAAAAGTATTATTGTGAAAAAATCCATATTACATTTATTCGATAATAAATTATATACATTGCATATATGCTATACATTTGTTAACACAAATAAATTTTTAACTACGTCTCAATGAAGATGAAGGTTTTATTATTATTTTCAAATGTTTTTTTTCTGAAACTAATATTGAATGTCACAATGTTCAAGAAAACTAGAGCAAGTTGTGTTATAATACTTTTATATTTTAATGTGGAAAAAGACACCAGTTACTTGAAGTCTTATGAATGCTACCTCTTAAGGGTACATTGAAAACAATGTTTTTTTGCTAAATGTACATGTACATTAAAACATTGTACAAACTATTTGTTATTAAGTAAATACATGTGATTCATCATATGTGTTACACTTGTTTAAAATTTCTGTTGTATTTTATATTCAGCACTCAAACCTCTTGAAGACGCCGAGAAAAACAGAAAACTTCCGGTAATGCTACATAAACTTCCGGTAGTCACTCAAACTTCGACTGTTGCATCTTCAGCCAAGAAAAAACCAAAGAAAGATCCTCCGCGACAAGCGACAGTGTTAATAATTCCACCAAGAGCACGAGGCGACATGCCAATTATTGCTAATAATGTAAATCAAGTTGCTTTATCACCAACAGTTCAGACAAAACACGGAAAACCAAAGCATATTTCGAAAAGAACAGATAACACTTCCGGTGGACCCAAAAAGCATGTTTTAGCTAATGAAGAGTTAATGGGTCTTCATAGAAATGGAATATTACCTGGTCGCTGGCAAATTTTAACTCGGCCAAATTTACAGAATAGAAACAGACGAAAAAAATAAAACGGTTGACGATTTGAAAGATATTTTTGTTAACAGTTATTTATTTTGTGAAAGAAACAAATGCATAATATTCATAAAATGGTTTGGTTTGGCGTCTCTTTATAATTAGATATACTGTCTGATTTAAGTCACGTCTGCTGCGCCGTTATTATATTTACATTCACCAATAAGGAAATGTACGATAAGTGTGAGTAAGGCCAGTAGGTGTGAAGAATAAGTGTGTGTAAGTCGAGTAGGTGTAAAGAATAGAAGTGTATGCATTAAATCGAGTAGGGAGGAACGATAAGCATGTGTAAGTCAAATTAGGGGTGGGGGTGGGGCAAGCAGGGCCTCCGTCTAAATAAAATACCCGTGAGGAGAATATATGTACGTGTAATGATAAAAAGTACGTGTAAGTGTTTAGAAAATGGGTTACGATGAAAATAATATAAATACGTTCTAAACGAAAAGTTTGTGTAAAAAGGGTGTGTTCGTGTAAAGAATATATGTTCGTGTTAAATAAGTACGTTTTAATTGTATACTATATGGAGATAGTGAATACACTATCTCACCAATTCATACTTACCGCACAGAAAGAATAAACATACTTATCTCAAATTAGATTCTTGATTAATTTCAATTTGTATTTTCCCCTAACTATTCTATGTGTGTTTTTTCACAAAGAGTAAATTTACATACATGCTTTATTTTGAAATTTGTTTTTTTTTTTTTTTTTGGAAATATTCTATAATTTAATAGTCTCAAGAATAAGGTGTCTAATGTATTCGATTTTGTGGACTGTACCGTGTGGTATCGAAATATACGTACTGAATGAAACTTCTGGTACATTTTTGGAGTACAAATGTATACTCAAGAATGTATTTACTAGGGCTGGATCAATATACCGGTAAATCTACTGTAGTGTAAATAAACACTCAATATTCAAAGTAATCGAGTACAACTTCATACACCGAGTCGAACTAATCTAGAACAAATTTATACTTAAAGTCGAACTAATCTAGTACAGATTTATACTTTAAGTCAAACTAATCTAGTACAAATTTATACTTAAAGTCAACCTATTCTAGTTCAATTTTATACTTGAAGTCGAACTAATCTAGTACAGATTTATACTTAAAGTCGACCTATTCTAGTTCAATTTTATACTTTAAGTCGAACTAATCTAGTACAAATTTATACCAATCTAGTACAAATTTATACTTAAAGTCGAACTAATCTAAAACAAATTCATACTTAAAGTCAACCTATTTTAGTTCAATTTTATACTTTAAGTCGAACTAATCTAGTAAAGATTTATACTGAAAGTCGACCTATTCTAGTTCAATTTTACACTTTAAGTCGAACTAATCTAGTACAGATTTATACTTAACGTCGACCTATTCTAGTTCAATTTCATACTTTAAGTCGAACTAATCTAGTACAAATTTATACCAATCTAGTACAAATTTATACTTAAAGTCGAACTAATCTAAAACAAATTTATACTTAAAGTCGACCAATTCTTGTTCAATTTTATACTTTAAGTCGAACTAATCTAGTCCAGATTTATACTTAAAGTCGAACTAATCTAAAACAAATTTATACTTAAAGTCGAACTATTCTAGTTCAAATATATGCTTAAAGTTGAACTTATTTGGTACAAATTTATACTTAAAGTCGAACAATTCTAGTTGAAATGTATACTTAAAGTCGAACTAATCTAGTAAAAATTTATACTTAAAGTCGAACTCATCTTGTATAAATTTATACTTTATATAATTTTCCAGTTTCCATAATATAGTGTGTAAAGTACCGTGTGATATCGAAATATCCCTGAATGAAAATTCTTGTACATTGTGGAGTACAAATGTATACTCAAGAATGTATGTTAATGTTGTGCAAATGAACACTCAACATTCAAAGTTATGGAGTAAAATTTAATACTCTGAGTCGAACTTATATAGTACATATTTATACTTAAAGTCAATCTAATCTAGTAAAATATTTATGCTTAAAGTCGAACACAAATTCGAATCTAGTGAAAATTCATACTTTATGTATTTTCCGGTTTCCCGAATATAGTTTGTAATCGAAATAATCGAAATAGTTTAGTACAAATTTATACTTAAAGTCGATCTAAACTAGCACAAATTTATACTTTTAGGTGAAATTTACCTTAAATAAATGAGTACTCAAGAATGCATTTAATGTAGTGCAAATGAGCACTCAAGATTAAAAGTAATGGAGTGAAAATTAATACTCAAAGTCGGTGTAATCTAGTACAAATTTATACTTAAAGTCGAACTAATATAGGTAAAATTTACACTTAAAGTCGAACTGATCAAGTTCAAATTCATACTTAAAGTCGACCTAATATAGTACAAATTTATTATTAAAGTCGAACTAATCTAGTACAACTTTATACTCAAATGCGAAATAATCTAGTAAAAAGTTACACTCAAAGTCGAACTTATCTAGTTCAATTTCATACTTACAGTCGAACTTATCTATTACAAATTTACGCTTTAAGTCGAACTAATCTAGTAGAGAGTTATACTCAAAGTGGAACTTACCTATTACAAATTTACCTTTTAAGTCGATCTAATCTACTGTAGTAGACAGTTAATATTATTACCCCTCACTTTTTTCGTAATGCTAATTTCCCATAGGCCTCTGGGAGTTATTTTTACTGTTAATGCAAGTGTACCACGTGACTAAGAATTTTGTACTGTTACATAGGTAACAGTATTTTTTAACAGTATAAAATCTGGTCACGTGGTCTATTTTCTAAATTAAATGAAATAAAATGGCTGCCATTTTTTTCTCGATTCATTCTTATTTTCGACGTTTAACACCGATAGGCCATCAATTTCTTCTCTGGAGTATCTATGACACCCATAAAATTTAGTAGTTCGCACCCTTGTGTGCTTTTCGTGTATAAAATATCTTTTTGTTGAATAGTCAAAAAGTGAACATCCGTTTTCAACGGAAGTACTTGCAATGTAAATAATAATATATGTGTTAAACTGGATCATGCAGACGATTTAAGCATGCAACAAAGGATTATTTAACAATTTTAATCAGTGAAACGTTACAGAGATGGTGGGCAGACATAGGATATCATCGTTATTTTGTCAAAAACCATGCTAAGAATATTCTGGAAACAGAAGGATCAGATTTCACAGATCATAAACGTGTAAATGGGTTAGTGTTTTGTTTTCTAAATAAAACCTAGCTTATTGTATGTTTATGATTTGTAGATATCATCACTTGCATAAAGAATAAAAGAAAAAGAAAACTTCTCAAGTAGGCCTAAAGTACACTTAAAAGGTAAGGGCAAAGTAGTTATTGTTACTCTTAGTTTATTTTTTTTTATATATACCAGAACCTGTTGGTCAAAAGTAGATAAAGTCCATTTAAGATATATAGCGAGAAAAGCACTTTGTTAATTATCAGTCTGGTTTTATTGATTTGATATCTATATCATTACATATATAGCATTATTTATTATGCAGTGGGCACAAATAACATGGTTCGATTTATGGTACCCAATGAAAATTTGAAATCTTTAAGCTGCATGAGCAAAATTCTTATATTAAAAAATCAAACTTGAGAAATTTGTATTAAACTTTTAAGAAAGATAAAAAATGATATTAAGATTAAAGTAATAATTTACATGTGTGAGATTAATGACTGACTTGCAGTATTTAACACCATATTTCTACTGCGTTACTAACGCAGTAAGGGCTATCTTTTGTATTTTTGGTAATGTTTGTAGACTGAAAGTGCCTTTTGCAATGTGTAAATTACTTTCTTCGTTCAATTCACAATATATTACTTTTTAATACTTTTCCAAAATTTTCTTAGAAATTAGCATGAAAATGGAGACATGCTACTTTAAATTAAAGAACTCTTCCGGCATATTAATCATTGTGAAAAATTACTTTTTAGTGATAATATTATCTTAATTCGTTACACTGAATTTTACTAAAAATTCATCTCTTGTTTAGATACATATCAACTTTACTTTCACTTTCAAGGAACTTGAAGTATATTTAATTATATTTTGATTTGCACGCGTAAACCACCATGAAAAGTCATCTTTTTTCCACTCAAAGCAATCGGAATCACCCACATATCTTTTATTTTATTTGAAAGAAACATTTTGATTTTTCTTTACGTTTTATTTTCATGACCAGTAATATTTTGTACATTTTCGGGAACTTGAGCATTTATTACACAATTTTAAGAATCTTTTGAAGATGTATATCATTATAAATATTATTTAGATCTAGAAGTAAAGAATCTCAATATACTACTTAATATGAATCAAGTTCCTGATTTCCGAACACAATGTTTTTGTTTTGAAAATTGCTATGCAACACCAGTTAGAAATCAGCATATGCATACAATAGTTAAAGCACTTTTCTTAAACGCTTCGTTCAGTTTCTGTATTTACTATAAACTTCTTACATCACATATCACATAGTTCACGTTACATCCATGCTTACACTTAGTTTTGTTATTGCTAGTTTAGCTAGTCTCAGTTTCTTCAACATGATTATGGTAAACCTTACACGAAGTTTCAACTTCTTCCACCCATGTATTAATACGCACAAAAAGTTCTTCTTGTTTCACGGGCATCCTTGCTATACTAGCGTTATCATCGTCAATATCGTCCTCTATGAAAACATCTAAGCCGTCACGCTGCATATGTTCCCGGAAGTCTTCCTCCATAAACTGAACATCTCGGTTTTTCATATTTGCCGAAGCAGTCCGAAATACTTTAGGAGCTTGCTGTTCACAAAATGCAAGCGCTTTCATGTTTGCCATTTCTTGATCAAGTCTGGCCCGACCTTTTATCTTTTCTCTTTTTGAGGGATTTCTTGGAAGTGATCTGCTGCGCATGCCCCGCGGAGGTGCCTGGGTAACACGCCTGTATGTTGACGCGGATTTTACAAGTGAAGGTAAACCAAGCCCTCGTTGTTTTAAGTGTTCACAAAGACTGTCGGGATCCATTCTAGTTCTTTTCCTACCGTAACCATGTTCATCACAATCATAGTCAGTGCTCTCACTTCTTGCACCATCATTATCACTTTTTTCTTTACTCTTTTCTAGACTTTGTTCGTTTTTAAACATAAACGCGGGTGCAGATCGAATCGAATATGGCCGTAAGGATTTTGCAGACTTGCGCAATGAGTACGTTAATGGGCGTGTTTGATTGATAACAGTGTGTCCTCTTAAAAGCGGAAATGGAGATACATTGTTCTCATTGTCGTCTGCCTGTTTGTCCAGATGCAGACGGGCATACATTTCCTGACATTGCTGAATCTGAAACATAAATCACAAAAAACAAAATTAAATGTATTTCTAAGACAACTTCTAATATAAAACCAAAACCTCGCGTGTCTTTTGTCTGTTTTAGTTGCCATGCCATTGTGTATTGTAAAACAATCTTATCGTCATCCTAAAATCAATATGAAATGACGTACTTTTACAAAAAAACGACAGGAATTTCAAATTTACTATCGAAGAAGTGTCAGTCATCTTGTGATAAGATTTTTGTCCTAAATAATTTGTTGAGTTTAAAAATTATTGTAGTTTACGTATTAATTAAACAAAGATAAGTGAAGTTGACGATGATTATGATGAACATGATGAATGATGATGGTGGAGGTGGTGGTAGTGATGATAAAGATGATGATGATGATGATGATGATGGCCATCATGACGTATATTATGATGCTGTTGGTAGTGGTAGTGATGATGATGTTGATGATTATCATGATGCTGGTGACGATAATGATGAATGTGGAGGTGATGGCGATGAAGAAGATGATAATCCTGATGATGGTGGTGGAGTTGGTCGTGATGATGATCTGATTATGATGATGTTGGTGATAATGATGACGACGGCGACGATAATGAAATGATGACGGCGGCGACGATAATGATGATAATGATGATGATGAAGACGGCGACGATTATGATGATAATGAGGATGATGAAGACGGCGACGATTATGATGATAATGAGGATGATGAAGACGGCGACGATAATGTTGATAATGAGGATGATGAAGACGGCGACGATAATGTTGATAATGAGGATGATGAAGACGGCGACGATTATGATGACGACGGCGGCGACGATAATGATGATAATGAGGATGATGAAGACGGCGACGATTATGATGATAATGAGGATGATGAAGGCGGCGACGATAATGATGATAATGAGGATGATGAAGACGGCGACGATAATGTTGATAATGAGGATGATGAAGACGGCGACGATAATGTTGATAATGAGGATGATGAAGACGGCGACGATTATGAGGATAATGAGGATGATGAAGACGGCGACGAATAATGTTGATAATGAGGATGATGAAGACGGCGACGATTATGATGATAATGAGGATGATGAAGACGGCGACGATAATGTTGATAATGAGGATGATGAAGACGGCGACGATAATGTTGATAATGAGGATGATGAAGACGGCGACGATAATGTTGATAATGAGGATGATGAAGACGGCGACGATAATGTTAATAATGAGGATGATGAAGACGGCGACGATTATGATGATTATGAGGATGATGAAGACGGCGACGATAATGTTGATAATGAGGATGATGAAGACGGCGACGATAATGTTGATAATGAGGATGATGAAGACGGCGACGATAATGTTGATAATGAGGATGATGAAGACGGCGACGATAATGTTGATAATGAGGATGATGAAGACGGCGACGATAATGTTGATAATGAGGATGATGAAGACGTCGACGATTATGATGACGACGGCGGCGACAATAATGATGATAATGAGGATGATGGTAGTGGTAATGAGACAATGATATATTATCTTGCAGTTCAAACCAGCAACAAATAATTTACATGTTTTGATATTACGATGGTTAAAACTAGGTGTATGAACCCGACTACAAACAATGCTGATAAGGTATGACCATGATTATAAATATATCCATCTAGCCTCTTTTAGATAAAATAAAGTAATAACGTTATCTCGCTATTAAAATTTAAAAGGCATTTACCGAATAATGACATTTGTCAAACTTTCATGTATTATTTATTGTCAATTTTTATCGCCCAATAGATATGACAATATGACCCTATAACTTTACTGAAATAATTAGATATTGTTAAATTGGCCCACTTATACCATAAAATGGATTATCTAATATTATGCGCTCTTAAATCAAATAGGTCAAGTAGCTGCCTCTTGAAAATATAATCGTCAATTCATTATTTAAATAGAAAATAGGAACTCGTGTAGACAAATAAACTAAAAATGAAACTGATGTTGGATATAGATTATCGTAATCCAGTTATAGCTTTTAATTGTACTCAAATGAAGACCATTTTATATATTGTACTGTGATAATAGGTTGGGAATCAATATTAATATTGTATTATGACAATTAAATTGTGCGATCATTTAAAAACTTGAAATGGGCGACCAGGGGATTTGCGGATTTGAAACGTCTACGGTAAAATATCGTTATGTATAAAACTAACAGCAGTTGGTGGTAATTGAAATAGATAGGGCGAATTTATTGTCAATATTTTTACGGCACATAAAAGTTCAAAATATAGTGAATGCCGTCAGTCGTTGTTAAGTTTTTCTTGTGAAGTAGTTTTTTTTTTATTTGGACGGTCATTTATTTTCATTTGCGGCTAAAAATGTTTCTTTTAGAAATAGAAATGAAAATATAAAATTTAATGATCTTCAAATAAAAACACATGTATGGTATTTCTCTACAATCAAGAATAGGAAAAAAAATACCCGTATAAAAAATATCATATTTTTTATCAAAGGCTGATCATTTGTTTATAGAACTTTATTACTTTATAACATCATTACAACCTGGTCAAATGAAGAACTAATAGAAATTTTTGAAAAGGGGTGAATTTTGATATTCTACTGAAAATTATGGTTGAAAAGTATTCTTTTGAAATACGTTTTACTAAATTTTTTATACAACATTATCAAAGAGCTTTATAAATTGACATAAAGTAAGTTGTAAGTTCTTATTAAGAAAACGCTCATATCTGTTGATTCAATATTACAATGAGAACAATTAGTATGTTATAAGTTCAACTATTACAAGCCCTTACTCTGCTTGTGGCAATAGATTCTACCAATGCAACCAGTGCAGCGGGACTGATCATGGTCTGCACTGTTTAGTTTGATAATATTTTATTGCAACTTAAACACTTTACATAAATACATGTAAGGTTACGTGAATAATACAAAAAAAATACAAAGAAATATAGGATACAAGTTATAACAGCATAAGGACAGACCTCCCCACATCTGCACTGTTCGATATACAGTCAGAAGATATTTTTGAAGTGTTCCCTAAAAATGAGGAATGGTTTTGTTCTGATTGAAAGGTGGACTTAATCGATATAGGCTGGAGAAATGTTTCAGAATGATAGAGACATTCAAAATGGTATATAATTGTAAAATAAATCGCAACGTGCCTGTCATGCAAGTGCAAAACCAAACCATCTTTATTTTGTATTTGTATAGAAACTGCATTACGTTATTTGGAACGGTTTGGGTTCGAAAACATGACCTTAACATCCGCTCGAACTTAACATATTGTTGTTTTATTTAAGCAACAATTAAAATTGTTTTCTCTTCTAATGTTGTATATTAATAATGTACTTAATTAATGACAGTCATATTTGAACAACGTGGTTCCGGATACAGTCGATGTTTTAGTTATTAATTTTATCACGATCAAATATTTGTGTCAGATACCATCACTACTATCATAGCCTGAGAGTGAGAACAACACCGTGATATCTTGATTCAATATAGCGTTAAACATTTGTATACCTGGAAAATATAGCATGGAAAAAATACAAACCTCATCATCATAAAAGTTTACTTCCGGTACGTGCACGTGCTTACCTTGCACGTGCGATTTTAAATATTTTATTTGATCTGCCGGCATCCTCATTGCTTAGTTGTTTTAATATATTCACTTCCAGAAAGAATGATTTTATGCCAGTGCAAGTATTATTTATATTAAATTGTCTTGTTTGTACTTTAATTCTTAGCTAAATATTTTTTGTATTAAAAGTACATTAGTCTCAATCAAAGTTTTATTTTCAGGCGTGCCTTATTTTGCACGTATTTCTCTTGCTAAAGTCTTTTGACTTCTTCACGTTGCAATATTATGCATATTTGAACAAAATCTACTTCATACTCGTAATTAACGATCCTCTAACTTTCATCTATTCAAACTAAGATACCATTTAATTCCTCTCAAAATTGTTCAAAAGAAATAAAACACATACTCCTTTGGTTTTACAAGAAAGTAAAAAAAAAGATCACAAAACGAATGCACTTAAGAGTAATTCATTAAAATCTTCTTGCATATTTTCGTTTTCAAAATTCGGATCGATGCGGTCACTTGATCTATTCTTATCGACAATATGTTAACGTATCATATATGGTAATTGGTCGTCAAATTCCCGGTGGCCTCCTATCGCCCGTTTATTATTGATAAAGTTAAGTATTTTCACAATCCAAAGGCTCATCCGTGTTGACATAACATTTTTACGTAATCTTTGAGATAAAATGCCAAACTCCGTCCCTAATATCCTAGCGTCTACACCACACGTGCGTTCAATCCCATTTCCATACAATCTCATATATTATTAATGATGGTAGACATTGATTTTTTCGCCTTTTCAACTTATTTCTTGAGACATTTTGCCTCTCTTAAAATTCTTTTGATTTTAAGGCTATTTCCATAATCCTTTTAAACTTTGTATCCATAATTCAATAATTGTATACTGTACTCGTTTTAAAATCAATTCTAATTTTCTCACAGTATAATCTGTATACGGTGTGACTTTATTTTAGTATTATATAATACAATTATCTTCAAATCTTATTATGTTAAATAACCGAGAACAAATAAATATATGTTTACTGAATCATGCTCGTGCATTTGAATGTTGTAGAAAAGATTCGTCAAATTGATGAACCCTATCGCAATACGTTGATATGTCTCAAATGTCTAAATTACCCGTTACCGCGAGTTTATTATCAAATAAAAGGCAGGTTTCAGATTTGAAGATTTCTGTTTTGAGAAGATGACAATGTGTTAATCGATTATTTAATACTATTTTAATATTAGATATCCGCAGTTTATAGGAGAAGAAATTTTATGAAAGGATTTTTTTTTCAAAAATCATCTTTTCTTCAAAGAAAAGAAAGCCCCACTTAAATGCCGGTAAAAAATGACACTGCCCATTGAATTTCAATTTTATATTTTAATTGAAATGTTCAACGCCTTTATTAATCTTCTATAAGGAGAAATCAAATTGGACAATCATCAGATGTTTATTATATCTTGACTGGATCTATGTACTCGGGTATAAAAACATTTTATGCGACATCGGATATATTGTTGACACAAAATGGCATTCACCACAATAGTCGCAACTTTTCGGACTTTTCCGCTAAACTTCGGTAAAATATTATAATTTAAGAACAATCAGCGAGGGGTTCCGATTGTTGCTTTTTTGTACTGATTTACCCGTACTCATTTCAGTACAGATAGCATAATATTATCATCTGTACTTGATGGTGTTACCGTACCTTATCGGTTCTGGAGATGATTGACCCATCTCAAATTAGTGTCCCTCGTGACACAGCGTGTTAATGCTCGAGTCTAATGATATCCTATAAGCTCTCATATCGCTGTAGTCATAGGTTTTATTATTTAAGTAAATATGTTTGCTTTTGTGTAATCTGGTTGCTCAATCAAATCATCTCTGATGTCATAAAAAACTGACTGACACATACATTGGCCGATACTAAAACAAGAATGCACTTAGTACCAGTTTTATTGACCATCAACTAAACTGTTTACAGTTCTTGAACGAAAGGGAGATAAGCGTGCATGTATTTTGTTGTTTTATCAAAAATTCTTTTATTTACGTACATTTCTCTGTCATATATCTGACAGTGCAGCGGAAATTACACCTATAATTTACAAGCACTAACTGGAAAAAAAAACAAACAAATCGACAAATCACTTTATTTTCCTAAATGTCATACACTGGACGTTTCATTGGATAACAAAAGAAACTTTCTTTTCGTAAGAATATTTGGGTTACATCTACAAGAATCATCTAAACTTGTTCTAAATGTTTTTATCCAGCACTAAGTTTCGCATATCTCATATAAGATACATTAAATCGAATATACTTTTCTTATCAATCAATAAACAATAGAAAGCCTATAATTTTCTGTATTTCTAAAATTCATTTTGATATGCATTTTCATTTTCTATCAAACGCGATGTGAAACTCATGCATTCAACTTTTATTTAAAATTTGAGTGCAAATTTTAACCAATAACAACTACTATAACAGTTTACAGAATTGCGATCTTGGTATGTATTTTGGTACCAGGACGAGAAATCTTAGCTTGACACGTTATCAATTGACAACTTTAAAAACTTTAACGTATCAAAGTTGATAAATCGCGTGGAGCACCGCGGGATTAAGCACGCCCGTCACGATATGATATGATTTGATAAACACGAATCATCGGATGTTTCCGTACACTTCCGTACAAAACTATCGGTAAACTTCGGCGGTAATATATTATACTTAACCGGAAAGTACCGAGACACTTCGCATGACTTCGTACTACAAGGCCGAGAAGATCTGATTTATGAATCATCTTAATAATAGCGTCTTGGTTCAATAGATGGGCTTTAATAGTTTAAAATCAATTACTTAATTTCGTACGGAATGTAAGTGCGTTTAAAAATGTTACTTAAAATACAATTATAGTATATATAGTTATTAATTTTGTTATTAATGTGGATGAGACTATTTTGATTGAATAAACGCGCGCGCCTTATATTTAATTACATAGTTCAACTGATATGTCATTTCAATACAATGGTTTGTTTTATCTTGTAACTTTACTTAGACTTAAAATAAAGGTATTGTTACTATTGTTAGAATGATTAGTATATTAATTTTACACTGTCAGTCTGAATCATATATCAATTTAGACCTGTTGAATTAAAATGTTGGCAGTTATTTAAAAAAAAATCCTTGAAGAAATTATGTAAAAAAACCCAAAAGAGAATGAACCGCTCTTAAAATAGTGTGTTAGCTAAAAAGACAGATATAAGACAAACGCTTAAATGATAGATGTCCATACAATAAACGTTCATACAATATTAAATACGAGTATCTAAATTAAAAACTGACGAGAGTAAACGTGCAGCAGGTATAACTAAACCCACAACTGATTCCAGAATTCATTCTGATCCAAGGGTGCATTGGTATTAAAAAATCGACCCTGAACTTGGTTAACCGTGCTAGCATAAGGCTCAGTGCAAATTTGTTATTTGTATGTGTTTCTGTAACTTAATTTGGGTAATATACTAGCTAAACGTAACGTTAAAACACTAACTGCAAGCCTTCCGAATATGACATTTTGATACCGACGCACCGTTAGGTTTAATTAACTTAACAGCTGTGAAATACGATTACAAACCTGCTGTTAGATAAAAAAAATACCTTGAAACAATCACTTTTCTTTCGACCCTAGCTATTGTTTTAATTTGTGAAACTCTCTTTATTTGATGCTTTTAATTCCAGCATAATTTTGTTTAGACTATGATTTTCTTAAATTATTTGTTACTAGTACATAAAACAGTAAAAGTGATAAGTGCGTGTATCTAAAACATCGTTAACAGTCTGAACATTTAGAAAAAGTTTCATTATATTTACCTGATGAACATAAGTTGCTACGGTAGGCAGAGATACCTTTTCTTTCTTTTGCTGTAATTTTGCCCAGAAGATGGCCGATTTGAATAACGCTTTCACACTATGACGTTTTTTCGGTTCCTCGTTTATCATTTTTATCTTTAAAATGTGTTCCTTTGTTTTTTTAATTGTTTATATTTTTGATGATGTCACTTTTTTCTTAATTTTCGAAATAACTTTTTAATACTATATACCTTTGCTATTGTCACTTTCCTTATATTAGATAGGTCACTTTTCTTGTAAAGGTATGCATGACCACTTCCTTTTAATTCAGATATCGCCGCTTTTTCTCATTTTTTTGAAATTTCCTTTGTTCTTAATGCTTTCAAATTGACATTGTCGCTGTCTATTTTTCTAAAATTTTGAACCTGTACTTTGAAAAAAAAATCTTTTACTTATTACCGATTATAATTGCTTAAATTTGATCACTTAAACTTTCAAATGCTCTTATCTTTTCGTTCATTTATTTAAAAAAATCTATTATGGTGAACAACTTAAAAAGTCAAATATACTTCAAACATTGTCTGTTTTATTTTCTGACTCAATCGTGTAAAAGAAATACGCTGTTAATTTATTTGATCTAAGCCCATTTAAGAGTTTATTGATACCCCAAATATCACTTGAATTTTCTTTATTCAGTACATACATCTGTGTCACTTAAATCCATTTGATATTTTTAGTTTTTTTTTTAATTGGCAAAAAATCTATCTTCAAAGTTCTAAAATTACATTGACAAACCTTCGAAACGCAGCGTTCCTTTAACCATTCCCTGACTAATTATTTATTAGTAAGAGCGCAAAATACTAATCTTGATCTCGACATCAAATTAATACATAATAGTCAATTTCGTTTATAAAAACATATCAGAAAATCTGAAAAACGTTAAAAGTGAAAGCAAACAATGAAAGTAAGAAATGGCAGGAGGTCAAACAAAAGTCAATAGATATTTATCTATAATTTACCATTCCTATTTTAATGTGAAAACGCACTTTTTATTTTAAATCGTTCTAAATGGTGATTCACATGTACTCCTGAAAAGTATATATTTACTCAAACCAGTTCAACAGGCCCTTGCTATAATACATAATATGTTCACTTTTAACAAGAAAAACATTAATATTTTCAGTTCGTAAAAGTACATGTACCTGTTTTTATTTAAATATTTTGTTCATGGGATTGTCCGTTTGTAAAACTGCAGATTTTGTTTTCAAGAAAAGCGATTTTTTTATCTGTTTGTTATAATTATTTCTCTATAATACAAAATAATACAAATACATGTAGCACATTGTATGATAAATTGAATTTGATTTAATACGTTAACACTTTAAAGAATCACACCCACAGATTCATGCTGAAAAATCTGAATAATTTTTTTATGCTACGCAAACAATTTAAAGGGATATTCAGGCAAAACAATGACAAAATTAATGCACTCAAATGACGCTAGAATGACATTTATTAAAGTTTCAGAATGAATTTCCGTTTAAATTCTATATATTTTGGGTTTAAAGCGTAAATCAATCTATATATGTTGAACAAAATTTAGACGCCAATAGAATCACCGAATAGTTTGAAAATAGGTCAGGCGACTTGAACAAACCCTTGAAGTTACAATAACAGACAGTGTGGATATTGTATGATTGAAACAAGTCTAAGTCATTTATTTGACATGTTTTTAACGATCCCAGAGTTCACTGTGGTAACTTTTGTAAAACCCTAGCGCTCTAACCTGACCTACGCGGGTCAAGTTAGGAAACCACCATTTTATTCTTTATATGGAAAAAAAGTTTTGCTCTTTGGCTGTCTAATATATTCATTTTCAGGGCATTTACAGAATAATGAATGAAATATTTAAAACTAAGAAATGAAAAGTTTGCCTGTGTCTCCCTTTAAGGGTTCGTAAAACATTACAATATTCCTGTCTGTCTATAACATGTCTAACTCTGCTTAAAAACAAACCTCACTCCATTATGAAATTGTAATTTACATATGTTAGAAACTGTATAAATCATGTAACGTGTCATTTGAATAGTGTGTAATCAAATTTTTACATTTCTTAAAGCACTGATAGTTTTTTGGAACATCTGCTGGCATGCAGCTTTAAAGTAATCAATTCATTACTCAAAAATCAAAGTCAAAAATTCC